TCAGGCTTTGTGGAGACAGGAGTCAGAGAAGAGAAGGAAGAGAGGCTGGCAGGGGAGGCCCCAGCCTGCCAGCCCATGTTCCCACTAATGAGCAGGCCCTCGGGGGGTCCTGGGTGCCGGGCCCGCCAGCTGGCTATGGGGTTCCTGTCTTAGTTTTGTGAAACTGCCAAGAAAATCAGTGTCTAACTGTATTAGTTTGCTAGAGCTGCTGTAACAAATACCACAGACTGGGTGGTTTAAACAACAGAAATTCATTCTCACTGTTCAGAAATACAAGATCAAGGCATCGGCAGAGCTGGCTTCTCCTAGGGGCTGTGAGGGAGCATCTGTTCCAGGCCTCAGCCCAGATGCTGGTGGTTCCCGGTGATCCTTAGTGATCCTTGGCTGGTGGACACCTCACCTGTCCTTGCCTTCATCTTCCCATGGCATTCTCCTGGGTGCCTCTGTGTCTCTGTGTCCAAATTCCCCCCTTTCCTAAGGACATCAGTCATACTGAACTTAGGGGCCCACCCTAATCCAGTACCACCTCATCTTAACTTAACTGCCTCCCTGGCTAGGCCGGGGGTCCCTGTCCAGCTTCTGCTGTCCACTGAGGGACTCTGATGACAAGGCCTGAGTTTCAGACCCAGAGCGTTCAGCCCACCTCATGTCATAGCCACGTGGAGTTGTCACAGCCGGAGGGGAGGTTAGAAACAGAGCCCTCTCTGCTTCCACAGCCTTAGCAACGGTCTGTCCAGGGACTGGAAATGTCAGAGCCGCCGAAGGTAAATCAAGCATCATTATCGTGCCACAAAGCTGCTCCCATCCAGAGAGCAATGGGAGGAAGAATTTCATGGACCGGAAAGGTTTCTTAGGGGCTCATATCAATTCTTGCTTTGTAGGTCTTGGAAAACTAGTTAGTAAAATGTCAACTTGTCAATAAAAAAGGAAGCTGTTGAAAGATGGTTTCTTTTGTACTCTTCTGGAGGGGGTGTTGGACATGGAGTGCTCTGGACCTAATCATCTCAGGGCTCTGTCCTGGGCACTGGGAGCTCTCGGGTCCTTGTGCAAAATCCTTACACTTGGGGTGGGGGGTCTCTTTTCCTCATCTCAGGGATGCTGCCTGGGTAGTCAGGGAAGGCTTCAAGGAGGAGGTGGCATTGAGCTGGGAGTGCTAGCAGGAAGGGAGCCCCACTGTGACCCCATCACTGAACCTTAGAAAGTGGCTGCTCTCTGGGGAGTGGCTGGGCTGAAGGCAGGGCCCATCTCCTCTAAGAGTCCCAGGAAACCTCAGTCTATGTCACCCTTTCCCTGGGGAGAGCTGCCCCTGCCTATGCTGAAATGCTGCCCAAATGCTGGGGGCAGGGGTCCTGGTCTTGTCCTATGGCTGCTGGTTTGTGAGAGACTAGCTCCTGATCAAAGTCGCCTGTGGACCTACTGTGTGCAGGTTCCCTGTGCTCAGGGGATGCTGGAGGAGACAAACACTGCTCTCAAGGAGCTCACAGCCCAGGGTTTGCCCAGCATGGCTGAGTGGTCACTGGGAGTTGGGCATCTGGTCTTGCCCCCTGCCCAGGCTTGGGAGGTGCTTGAGGCATTGGGATTGGGGCCTTTAGTAGAAGGGCAGGCCCAGGTCAGAGGGAGTGGGAAGCTGAGAGACGAGCAGGGCTTGCTGGCAGGTGGGCAGTGAGCAGGAATGGTAGGCCACCTGTCTGACCCCCTCTCCAGTCCCCGCTGACCCTGAGCTGCCTTTGGCCAGTGTTGGTCTGGGTCTGGCCCACCCTGGGCCATGCTGTTACCTTCCAGATTCTTCCTGAGTGCTGGACTCCCCTGGCCAGCCCTGACCACAGCCACTGGGGACCAGAAGGGACCTCCAGGATGGCTGTGCTTTAATGAGCCTGAGAGTCCAGGGAGGCCGTTGCAGATCTTGGTGTGGCAGCCCTCCTCTTTTGAAGAAGTCACTTCACGTCCCAATGTCTCTGATCTGTGCAGCTCACACACCTGTGTCTCTAATGCTCACTCCCTCCAACCTCCCTGGACGATGTCACTACCTCCTTAGTTGGATGGAAAGACAGAGAAGGCAAACCACCTGCTGGAGCCGCCCAGCACATGAGGCCACCATATAGCAGGACATGGTCTTTCCTCATGCTGTTCACTCTTGCCAGCAGCCCCGGCCTGTTAGACACCTGCTTATCCTCCAAGGCCTCCCTGTGGCCTTTTCTACCCTTCTATAGGACAGTTCCTCCCCCTTTGGGGACCTTGGATAACTCCTCTTTAATAGGGTGTGTGCCTCTTTGTTTTATAGTTTCACATTTATCTCAGCCTGCCATATGTGTGTGGCCTTGGGCAAGTGGCTGAACCTCTCTCCATGCCTCAGTTTTCCTAACTGTAAAATGAGGGTCAAATAAGAAAATACACATTAGAGTATTTTTCCTAATTCCTGGTGCACAGTTGTTGATGTTCTTAACGGTAGTCTGTCTCCATTAAGTGACATTCTCCAAGCTCGTGCTGTGTGGCAGATTCTGAGTCTGGCGCAGACACCCAGAGATGAAAATGCCACCTGTCTCTACCCAAAAAGGCTCCAATCGGATGGAAGAGAAAGACGTGTGATCAGTTAAAGGGAGAGAGCACACAGCACCATGGGTCGTAATCTAAGAAACAAAACCAAAAATGGGTTGCCACATTCTGCCTGAAGATTGACAGAGTTTGAAAAGCTCCGTCATCCTGTGTTGGCCAGAGCAAGAGGAACAGGTGTCATTGGTGGGACACACATTGGCACAGCCTCAATGGAGGGCCATTTAGCAGGGCCTGTCAACGTTTCAAATGCCCATACCACTGTCTCAGCTATGCCACTTCTAGGTGTGAATGTACCCAAAACACTTGCAAAGATATTGGTACAGGGGTAGGTTGTATAGCCTGATTTTGATGAGCTGAAAATGCCCTTAACTGCCCACGAGCTGCTGACTGGTTGAACAAGTTGTGATTCAGTTGAACTTTTGAGTAGAATGCAACCATTAACAAAGAAAGAGGTACATCTGTGTGTATCAACTTAGAACATTTATTAAGTGAAACCAAACAAGTAACCAAAAAACCCTCAGTGGTAGAAATCCCACTGTTGTTTTAAAAGGCTATAGGACATGGACTATTGTGGGAAGTGCTAAGGAATTTTTTCTTAACAGTGGTTGCCTCATAATTGCCTGGGGGAGGGTGGGGGGAGGGTTTAGTTTTTCAGTCTGGTATGTTTCAATTTGTTTTTGTTTTGGCGGCTTGATTGTAAGGGGATCCCAACGTCTGACCTTGATGTTATAACACTGCACTATAACCGACTCAGCTAACTGGCCAGCCCCTTCAATTTCCTTTAAGTATTTCTTTCTTTCTTTCTTTCTTTTTTTTTTTTTTTTTTGGTGGCTGGCTGAGGCAGGGATCCAAACACTTGGCCTCAGTGTTACAAGGTAGCATTGCTGTATTTATAATTTAAGAAGAAAATGGAAAGAATTTGAAAAGATGCTGGGGCATAACTCTAGAAGAGGTGACATGAAAAGCAGGTTTTTTGTTCCTTGTCACCTCCCCCCTGCCTGTCACCTTCCTGCCTGGGCTCCTCAGCCTGCCTGATGCAGGAGTGGTATGTCCAGCTCAATGTGGCCCACTCGCGTCCTGTCTGTGGGTGGGGGCAGCTGGATACAATCTGAGGGTGGAGGGCTCAGCAGGAGCCTTCTGCGGCCTGGGTCCCTGTGCCATGACTGGTGCACAGTTAGGTCTGAAGGAACTGTTAGAGCATGAGCGACTGATGATCCCACCCAGGCCGGCCTGTTATTTGGATCTGTCAAGCCCCCCACCAGTGTGTCCGGGGACATTGCGCCTGGGCAGGTGGGACGCTGCGCGTGAATGGGGTGTGCGCAGCGGGGAGACTTCCCTGGGCGGGTCCCCCGGGGCGCACGGGCTGGGGGCGCTCAGGCGGGCGCGGGAGGAGGCCGCTCGCCCGCCCGCGCCGCTGGGGGCCGCCCGCGGGCCGTGCCCG